CGTATGTCCGCGCCGCGCTGCACGTTCACGCATTTGTAAACGCACCCCCGACAAAGGAGAAAACGCTAGTGTGGGGCAAAGTTTAAAAGAAATCGACTCGTCCCTGTCACAAGCTAGGTTAAACGTGTCTACAAACAAGCTAGCTACCATTTTATTTATAGTGAAAAGCGTTTAAACTTTTACATCTGTATAGTTAGCTATACAAGACGCATTATAATTTTAATAACACAATTATTTCACAGCCATGAACACCTAATTACAAAACTTTCTTTTAGAAGAAGAATTTAATTCTTTTAAAGGAAAAAACCTAAGCAAATATAAAAAGAAACCGCAATTTAACCACGTTCCTAGTTCAGTTAGATAGTTAGTTAATTGACTAGCAGTTTAGTTCAGACTGTTATTATTTAGTTCAAGTCCCGTGGTAGGCATAGGTTATGTGGCGGCGGCTTTCATCTGCTAATAAAAACATTTAGAATGGAAGCTGGCTGCGTCTACAGAAGCAATGGTAAACGGTACAGTCTGAGACAGATGTGTTGGCGAATAGGAGTGATGATTAAAAATCTAATTAGTCCATAAGTTAGGTAATGAAAAAATATTAGACACGTATTTTTTATCTTGTCGTATAATAAAACAATACTTAGATAAAACGAATCAAAGTTTAGGAGTGGGATCTAAAATGTCATTTCTACGTATAAAATGTACATAGAAGTGACGTCACGCGACATTTCAAATCAATATACTTACCTATCGTCGAAAGTATTCGTTTCTGTAAGAAAATAAAAAATACGTGTCTAATGATTTAAAACAATTTTCAAATCTACCAGACGGACATTAAAATAAAAATTAGGCATCTAGGTACCCTATTTTAGTAATAAATCTTTATTTTTCACCAATAGGTGCTGAGAGACATCTGCAACTGATTAAAAGCCTATTATACCTTTTGCTGTCAATGGTCAACTACTGTTTTTGATTTATAAAATAAGTTCTTCTTTATGGTGCTATCTACTCAAGTACTATTAGTTGGCGATCAATCTGCAGATGTTGCTTAAATAAATTATTAGGAACTGCTGTGATGTGGTTGTTAATAACTGAGATATCCGAAAGCATACAGTCTCTATTCATTAGTCTATATTATATCTAAACGCATATCCATACCTACTTATAAAATGCCTTCTATTATAACATAAAAATCAATATTTAACCATCAAAAAGCAACAATGTATGATTTGTGTGCGCAAGAGTACGGCGCACGCGCAAGGTCGGTAGCGTGGCGGCGACTGCATTGCGTTTTAATTGTTATCGACTTAGGTCTTAGGCACATGTGTCGTTTTTAGCTGAGACCTATCTATAATCTAGGTTTTTCTAATCACCTCTAAAGACCTAACGATACCCTCTTTCCACACCTGGTGATAAACATCATTTCTTTGGCTCGTACTCGTATCTTCTTTCTATCATTGGTTAAAATCAGCACTCAGTTTGTCTCACACAATTTAATTTCATTACTCAGGAATCAAAGGCAAGGTAGCAGAAGAACCACCTGATGGTAAGCAATCAACGACGTCCGTGGTCAAAACTAGAAGAGTTTTAAAAAACACCATCAACAGCCTATAAAAGCCCACTGTTGAACAAAAACCTCTTCTCACACGGAGAAGGTTTGAGCATTAATCACCACGCTTGCTCAATGCGGGTTGACGATTACAAACTTATAATTAGATTTTTAGTCCAGGTTTCCTCACGTGTTTTCCTTCACCGTTTGTCAGTGGTGTCTAGATAATCTTAGAAAGTATATGTAACCCGGTCAAAAGTCACATTGGTTCTTGCCCTTAGTGGTTTCGAACGCGCACCCTCATGTATGAGAAGTAGGCTTCTTAACTAACCTAACCACCACGACATACATAATATGTACGACGACATATATTTAAAAAATCCAATGTTACTTTTTCATGGCTATTTTGACGTTTATATCCTTATAATGACTTGAAATTATGATGAAATGAAATTTTCCTAAATATGATGACAAATCAGCGACATCGTTCATGTGTACATGCCTCCTTACTCCGCCTGGTTTACTTAGCGCAGCACCCGATACTGTTGGGATTCTTTTGATGCTATTCATGTTCCAGCGCACATTTATACGGATAACCTTAAAAGTTTTTAATTGAACGTTTAGCAAAGTCACATTATATCTGTACCGTAGGTACCTATTTAGAACTAAGTTCATGATATAACTTATCATGTCCTTTTTAGGAGGGGGGGGGGGGTTTATTGAATAACTTCTCCCGCATTGCGTAATCCGAAAGGTAGTGTCAGACTCACCACCCCGTTCCTACTCCTACTCTTCAACTGAGCCCCATCTGAACTTATGTCTTACTTATCTAATAATATTAAGGATTCTCGTATAGACTTGAACTGTAACGAACATATAAGTTTTGCTTGTGTTTCTTTAATAGGAGTTATATAAAAAAGAGTATAGGTACATTGATACATATGTGTCCGAAAATTAATTAGTAGCAGGGAGTCTAGAATTGTGCCCAGTATATGGCAATAGACTCACCCCCTATTACATGGGACTCATAACATAAATAGTGAAAAGTGGGTGTTACATTGTGTACTTACAGTGGCATTAAGTACCGTAATGTGCACCTCTGCCTACTCCTTTGGGGATAAAAAGGCATGATGTTATGTTATGTTACAAATAAAAATGCGACCGGCATACGATTTATGGGTAAAATTCGCTTGTTCGCGTCCACCCACCAATTTCTGTCCATTGTGTCAATGTGTGTCAATTTTTTTAGTAGGTATACTTGATAAGTTTACGCCTTTTGTTTTACGAATCGCCATGAATGTAAGATACTAAAAAGGTTTAACATCGAACAGATGTGTACTAAAGAACTACTAATAATATTGTTTTGTTTTTATTTTCGGGTATTTTTAAAGAACTCCCCGTAACATGGACGCGAACAGAACACTTACCATATATTAGTTTGCATGGTTGGCGCGGTAGCGGGGCAACTGGCTGCCGCGCAACGCGGGTTCGATTTCCGCACGTAACAACTCTTTGTGTGATCCATACATTGTTCCAAGTCTCGGTGTCATGTGTATGTAAACTATGTTTGTAAACGCACCCATGACACAGGAGGAAATCCTAAAGTGGGGCATCGTTTTGTTAAAAATAAAAATAAACATATGAGATTGAAAGGAAGAAGAAAACAAGGTTCATAGGCGACACAATAAATTAAGCCTAGATGAGTAAATGGCAATAATAGGTACTCAAATGTTGATGATGAGGACCTCTAAAAGAAAAAGCGATAGGCATTTGAACTCAAGTAAACGTGCCCAATAAATTCAGGAACTGAAAAGTAAACTGAGAAGTCAGTATTGACGTATGAAATAACACGGAACACATTATAGTTACTTTTAAAATACATTCGTAGTCAAAGCAAGGATATTCGAAAGTTTTATTTATAGTTATTTAAATGAATATTGCTTTAAATATTTAATCAATTTTAATTATTGTCACAATGTAGTCGTGCGCATTCATTTATATTTATCAATAATGTATGAAGTTTTTTTCTTTTGTTATTGAAACCTTTCAAAAGATTACTTCCTTTATAATAATTTTGATTTTTTATGCGACAGGCGTGAACCGGGCGGGCGGATCAACTGACAGTAAGCAATGTACACCCGCAACACCAGTGAAGTTATAATTGTGTTGACGGCCTTCCAGGGTTAAGGAGTAAAAGATTGAGGTTATGGAGGTTGGGGACGGAAAGAGGGATCGAAATATTTCGTTTTTAATACTGGTTTATCCAGTAAACGAGCAGACGGATCACCTGATGGTAAGCAATCGGCGTCGCTCATGGACACCCTGAACAACAAAGCTGTTACAAGTGCGTTACCGGCCTTTTGGGAATTACTAAGGAATTCGAGGATTGTGGGGGATTCGGCGATTGGGGAGATGATTGCGAATGGGATCGGTGGGGGGTAATAGGGCCTCCGGTAACCTTACACACACGACGAAACACAACGCAAGCGTTGTTTCACGTCGGTTTTATGTGAGGCCTTGGTACTCCGGTTGAACCGACCCATTTGTGCCGAAGCATGGCTCTCCCACACTAGGTGTACGGTTCGTACACTTGCAGATTGTAGTTAATTGTTGGAGTGTGAAGAGAAAAGAACACGAAGTTGTAGTTGAAGAAGTGTGAGATAAAGATAAATAAATAAAATAATAAATAAATAAGTAAAGTTGTATTACTGATAGTTACACTAGTTCGTCGATATTGACTATTCCTTTCTCTTAAGTAGTTGGTGGTATCGTTGTAAAATGCACACTGGTCGGTGTGTGTAGCAACCGTGTATTTATAATTAGGTAAAAATGACACTGCAGTCGTACCGACTGCAGTGTCATCAAAAAGCATGTACAGTTGAAGACCGTACACTAGGAGTATTACAAAAATTGCCTATGGTAAATATGTGGTAGACAAAACATCTTCATAGTTTGCGCACACTACGGGTAGTTCTATAAAAAAATATGGTTTGAAAAATAGGTATAATTATATCAATGTAAGTATTAGAAAATAAAAACATAGAATAAGGAAAAACATCTTTGTTTATTTAGTAAAATCACAAGACGGCGATCATTTTTATCACATTTCCACCAATGGCAGCATAGTATATAACATACCTTTATACATACGCACATAGTACATTAGAATACATACATTATTTACTTAATAACATTGTCTTATCTCGCTATCATTATTTAACAATAATTAAACAAACAATTTACTTAATTTTTAAGAACGTACAATCTCTAGTTGACAGAAGGTATTCGCAGAAAGATGAGAAAATGAAAAACTGATAAGTGGATACTATAGTTAGAGTAAACTAGCTTCTGCCTGCGGCTTCGCTCGCGTTCCCATGGAATAAAAAGCCTATGTATTATTTCAAACCGTAATCTATCCCTGTTTCAAATTTCAACTCGATCCCTTCAGCCGTTTTGACGTGATTGAGTAGAAAACATACAGACAAACAGACAAACACAAACTCACAAAATTTCGCATTTATAATATAAGTACGATAGTAAGAAGCTGCCGTTTTTTGTATAGTATCAGCCAAAACGGCAGATTAAAAGTTAGATACAATAATTATCACCAGCACTTTTGTTCCCACGGCTATCGTAAGAGATTACACTTTTTACAGAAACTAGGCCCTGGCGCTCTTTTATAAACCATAGGAATTTAAACTATGATTCCCGAACTGCCTGCAAAGCATGGAAATTATTTTTTTAAGGAACAAACTCGCCACAACCTCCAAAACCGGTGCAACTCCTGTAAGCCAGGATCTACAGTATCACCAAAACACTGATGTCACATCCCAGGGACATGAATTACTGTCTTGGCAACGAAGTGAATCAGAAGATATTATAGATATTATAAGAGAAGAAAAAAAAACGATAGTTTCCATTTCCCTCGGTGAATTGCTGCAGGAGAGGAGGAGCCCAGACGCCAAATCCTGAGGCCAGGTTGACAGCCTAAGTGTGAGCTGTTATACTTGCTTCCAATAATAAGTATGGCAAAAGCGCCTAAACGCACCGAAATTTGATTTAGATTCTACAAGGTTCGTATAATAATCTACACCTAAATGCACGGAAATTAGGTCAAACACGACTTATGGCTCCTTAATATACCAGAGGCTTTGAAACTACGATCTCCGACCCGAACAACGAAATTTTGTCAAACACCTTTTATGTAGAAGGTGCCCAAAGACCAGCAGACACTAGCTGATGATGATTGAATGTTTGAAGAACATACTGGTTGTCTATCCTTTCTTAGAAGTACAGATAGGTATGTAGTTCTGTAGTTGCGATGTTAAATCTGATACATAGACTTTATCGTAAAACAAATTAACTGTTATCAAGAAGTACTTCGGAATATTTTATTGTTTTTTGAGAACATCTTCTGTTTACAATAAGATTCGTTTTGGTTGATTACAAATTACAATTATTTTTATACTGAGATTACACGGAAGTTACATAACATTGTAAAATTAATTATAGATCTCATTTTAATGTTTCTTAATCTGTAATAAAAAATACCCTGACTAATTTTTGTTAGATTTCAAAAAATAATAGGTGTGTATTTACGTACATAATCAAGAAAACAATTTTAATGAAGTAAGATTTTAAGCAAAAAATATGACTTCACGAGTGTTTAAACATTTATCAAAATCGGTTCAATATTTTATGAGATTTGACATATAAAATACTTATAAACAAAAATCAACCAAGTTAAATCACGACTACGTTAGTTAACAAGCATTTTTGAGGTTTCTTGTTTAACTCAAAGTTTGTTACAATAATTTTCTTCTCAGACTCCTAAAGCACGTACTAAGTCCTAACATAACATGTACTCAAAGAAACATTCAACATTGAACTGTAAGCTCATGAGAATAAGTATCAATTTCTTTATCCATTTAAATTACCATACGACCTAATATCATTTAGTACTGTTTTCTGAATACTGGCTTTGGCTTGTATTAGTAAAAAATATTGGAGACTCTGGTGAATATATAGGCGTAGCCGTGTGAGGAGCTTTATATGGAATAATATCAGTATTTTTAAAGAAATTGTGTAAAAGAGTCTGTTGATCCATTAACAGTGTGTTCAAATGCCGTATCTCTTGGTCTATCTTCTTCATATTAAACGTAGCCTGATCTATCTTCTCTTGCATACCTCTAATCTCTAAACTGAAGTTATGGTCAGGAGCAAATTGACCCTCATTCTTCAATTTCGATGTATACTTGTTTTTGTATAAAATCTCTTTGATAGACCTCCCCGATTTCACTTTATTCAACTGCGCCAATTCGTACGCAGCCATCATTATATCTGTAGGCAATCTCTTTTCTCTAGGATTCAAAGGTTTCACACTCAAAATTACTTTGCCTGCTTCTGGTGACACCAGAGCAGTTCTGTACACATATTTGTGAAGACATTTCGGAAGCCAAGCACTGAACATACCCATTTCTACAAACAAGATCAGTTTGGTCTGACGGACTAATTTGGAGAGACCAGCGGTCTTACGCAAACCTTGAATGTCGTGGACAGCAATACCAACGAGCAAGTTCATCAGAATTATAGTGACGAACATAAGGAATAGGATGAAAATAATCTGTGAGGATAATTCGAATATCAATGGCGGGTCATCTTTCGTTGGATCATTGATCAAGATGTTCAAATTTAACTCTCCTACCATCATAGATAATGTACTGATGAAACCCATCAAAGGGTTCGAAAACATCTCCTCGTTTGGAAACACAACGCAGAAGCAGATTGTGAAGCCTAAGAGAAGGCAAATATAAGCCAGCAGTAGTTTTAAGAACTCTGTTAAAACTTTTTGGTACATGGCGACATAATCCCCGAACATTGGAAGTTGACCCATCATTAGCATCAAGTTAGTCCAAGCTCCTAACACCGCATACCCTCCCACATGGTTCTGCCAGCTGTAATCATTATGTATTTTGTAAAGAGAAAACACAGACAGCAAGACAAACCATTCCATCAAATTCTCGAATGTTGTAAAGTATTGATAGAAACTTGAATACCCAGTTATACCAGTCAGCTTCCGAAGTATCTCGAATGCTGTGATGGCCATCAAAACCCATCTCTCAAACTCTATAGGATTATTAGTAAGGATCAAACCTAAGAGAGATTGCTTTTGACAAAGTTCGTTTAGCACACCATACTTCTCAGCATATTTACCCTTACAAGTCTTGACGACAGCCGTCAACACGTAAATGGACAGGAATGATACAAAAAGAAAACAAAATATTAGCCTCGCCAAATAAAACTTCCTTATCTTCCTCCATTTCATAAACAAAAACGCAGAGCAAAGCGGATGTAGTAATATATCTTTTTGGCCTTCATCTATCAAACTGTTTAAATATGTGATCTCACGCGGATAAGAAAATTTCAACATTCTACCGAAATCAAATTCAATTTGAACTTCTTCATTAGATTCACTCGGTTGATTTAATGAAATGCCACAATCAAGATTATGTCGTAATATCGCTAATGATTTTGGAGTTTTCCTAGCAATAACACTCAAAGCTGTGTGTCCTTTCTTAGATTTTGAAGTTACATCAGCTCCGAGGAATATGAGAGTCTCAACACATTGAGTCAAATTATCCATAGCGGCTAAATGCAATGGTGAATATCCATACTCATCTTTTTTGTTGACTTGAGCTCCCCAACTTACAAGCATATCGATGATGTCACAGGCACGCTCCGATCTTCCAATTGCTGCATGAAGTGGTGTGCGTTTGTCGTAGTCTTCAACGTTAGGATCAGCATTTCCATCTCTAAGAAGCACTTCAACACATTCAATGCTCGAGCATCTAGCTGCAAGATGTAGTGCGGTAAAACCCCTGTAATTCTTCGTATTTGCTTTTGCGCCCTCTGATAACAATAGCTCTAGACATTCAGCGTACCCTCTCGCCGCTGCTAGATGTATAGCTGTACATTCCTTATCTCTTTGTTTAGTTACACCGTTTACACTTATCTTTGTCTCTTTCAGTAAATACGATAGACATCTTTGTGCGCCAAGTTCAGCGGCTAGATGTAAGGCATTCAATCCACCTGAGGTAACATATGCTGGGTCCACACCTCTCTCGATAAACAGTTCCATACACTCAACAGCATCAGCTCGAACTGCACAATGCACTAGATTATCCTCACATCCTGCCCTTTGCACGACAGCGTGTAATGAAGCACCATTAGCAATCAGAATTTCAGCCACTTCTAAAGAATTACCAAACGCAGCGCAGTGTAGGGGTGCGAAATATTTCGGCGCAAAGTCAACATCAGCACCACGAGAAAGAAGGAAGATGGCAGCTCTTCCTGCGCCACTGAATGCTGCGAGATGTAAAGCAGTCAAACCTTCTGGTTCTGAGTAGTGAATGTCAGCGCCTGCTTCCAAAATAGCTGGCAATAGTTCATCCCTGGCAAGTAACGCAGCCCACAATAACGTCATGTTCACAACCACTTCAGGAGCAGAACAAATATGTTCCTGGATGTTATCCGTTGTTATTAAACCGCACTCAACATCATCGAAAAATCTTGCAGCTCCAAGTGTCAACGCTTTCTCACACAGGCTTCTTCGGGCCGCTTCTTCTGTCAACCTGGCCTCAGGATCTGGAGCGAGGACATCGAAACTGTGGTACATGTTGGGAGCATCTTCAGCTGGTGGTGAGGGTCCGACGAAGAGATACTCTTTCGCTTTCCACGGTTCTCGAGCTGACTCCAAGAGGTCGATGTTTCTGACATGTTTGTAGTTGGTATTTAATGGAAATTCCTCAGGTTCTCTTGGTGCTCGCGATCTGACGCTGCTACCTCGGAATCCAGCCCTCATGGGCGTAGTTTGGGCAGGCGTATGCTGGGGAGAAGGCCACCCCATCTCGCGGTACCCGAAGTTGTCCATCGCCTGCAAGTAACTGACTACTGACGCGTCTGTTATCTTATCTCCCATGTTGTGTGAGAGCTCAGACTTGTTGAGATGTGTTTGACATTGTGATTTATGAAGCTATTTTTATTACGATGCGCAATTATATTCAGATTACTTTCATGTTTTTTTGTGGGAGCGTGGAATGTTTTTCTTATTTAACGGAACGTAATTAATGTAACATCCATACATAGAGTGGTATTCGAAATGTCGGCAAGTCTTTTGACTTGAGGATTATGCGACAAACTATTTTTAGTTTGTTTATTACTTGCCTTTTATATTGTCGGAAGTGTTGATATCTCTTCGTTATGATTGTTGAAGCTAAATAATTATATTTCCTCATGCTTACTGTGTGACATGAGTTTTGTACTGAGTCAGTTGGGTATATAAAGAGACACATTTCTAAAGATTTTTCTGTTTATTGATTTGAGTAAGAAAGGACATATCTGTTCCAACTCTTTTTTACTCTCATCAGACACAATGTCTGCCGAACCTGGAAATCCAACTGAGAATTGCTTTGAGTTGCTAAATTGTTCGTAATAACTTCTTTAAAAAGCCCAAACTACTAAAATAATTATAATTAGGCGACCAAAGAATGGAGTCTACATAAGTATGTCTAATTAATCAACTAGAGGAAAAAGTCTTCGTCTTTACATAAAATTCACTTAATTTTATCTGAGTGTAAACAAAAACACGTGAATCTGAGAAAGATATCTTATTTTTCAGGCTTTTGAGCTTATAATGGTTTGTTTTATTTATTGTGTCTTACGTATCGCGTCATAACGTTTATATAATTTTTCTGTAACACAACGCACGTACTAATTGCATTTAGATAAATCCATCTCTGTTTTGTATACATTTGCAGCGTGTTTCCTGTTTACAAATATTCAAAAGGACTTTACTGTAGTAATGTGCAGTATTTTTTAATTATCTTACTCCATATGAATTCCAATAGGTTATATGTTTTAAGACAAACCCTCCAGACGGCTGCCTCGTTGGCCGAGTGGTCGCAAGTGCGACTGCTAGTCAAGGGGTCTCGGGTTCGATACCTGGATCGGGCAAAGTGTTACAGCGTTTTAAAAAAAATCAGTAGTAGCACAGAGTCTGGAATTGTGCCCGGTATATGGCAACAGACTCACCCCCTAGTATATGGGACTTACTCGTATAACACAAATAGTGAAAATTGGGTATTACATTGTACAGTGGCATTGCCTAACCCTTCGGGGATAAAAGGCGTGATGTTACGTATGTAATAACCCTCAACTAAATCAACAACTGCCACCACCAACCAACAAGACATATGCTTCGAAATGAATGGGCCGGGTCTACCGAAGTGATACCACGGCCTCACAGAAAACTGACGTGAAACAACGCTTGCGTTGTGTTTCGTGTGTCAGTTACAAGTGCGTCACCGGCTTTTTGGGGATTAGAAGTTTGAGGATCGTTGGGGATTCAGGGATTGGGGAGATTGGGGAAGGGGAAGGTAATAGAAGTGATCCGCAAATTATTACTCCGACTCTGGGTGTACCTACATTTTTTTTAAAATAACAACGTTGCCCCACATTAGGTTTTTCTCCTGTGTCGTGGGTGCGTTTACAAACATACAAGTTCACATACACAATGACACCCAGACCCGAAACAACAATTTGTGGATCACACAAAGTGTTGCTCCGTGCGGGAATCGAACCCGCGACACGTTGCACGGCAGCCGGTTGCCCAGCCACCGCACCAACCGTGCAGTCAGAAGAAGAGTTTGACATTGAATGAGTTTATAAATGAATCCGAAGAAACTCTCATAGGTGGCGATGTGTTTTAACGACAGCAAAACAATAATTTTCACATTTCCACCGATACTGAGGACTGTGACAGTTGACAGTACATCAACCTCGTGTTGCGATACTGCGCGTACGCAAATATTTGTTACACGGACTTTGTTACCTTTGTGTTATCTTGGCAGTTAGGGGCTATATACACATGTTATTTTTTGTTATTATTGCATTGTTATTTGTTGTATGTTCTTATTACGTGACAGTTCCAATGAATAAGTCCATTTTGACAATGACCTGTATAACTGGACGTTGAAACGTAAAGGCGTTGCGACGAATACGTAAGTATTTTATAGCTATACGCCTTTTACAAATGTAAACCTGAATACTTTTTGTTGACGTTAAAAAGTGCCTTTCTGGTCTAATTGAATTAAATGATTTTGACTGTGCTAGAGTGGAGACCGCGTCTAGGCAAACGCAATATAGGGCGCTCTCCAGCTAGGTGGAGTGACGACATCCGCAAGGTGCCTTGGATGAGAAAAGCTGAAGACCGAGCTCAGTAGCGTGCCATTGGAGAAGCCTATGTTCATCAGTGGACGAATACGGGCTGATGTTGATGATTTTGACTTTGACTTTGAATAATACTTTACTCGGAATCAAGACCAAGACCTCTTACGTCAGGAACAGATAATAAATTTTAAATTAAATGAAACCGTCAATTAAACAATAACTCGTGCGTTAGAATCACAAGTCATGTAAAACGTCCTTATATCACTGTATGACCACGTGACAATCACATTTCAAACAAAATGGCCGCCTGTCAAACGTAATGTGACACGAAGTTGTTGTAGTATTTACACTTATTTCACTTTCTACTGATTGAGATAATGGTAAGGTATTAATTGTAAGTCGATCAAGGTCAAACGAGACGTATTGTTTGTGTGATAGTTAAGTTGAAATTAATGTTTTAAGCTACTCTTTAAACAGGCGGTGTATTTGTTCATGTAGTATTATTAAAGGGGTAGAGCTACGTACTAGCGTTTCTTAACTATACAAACATGTTCTCATTTATGTTTATTGTCTTTGTAAGTAGTTCTGTACCTTTTTTTATATTTGATGGGGCGACGTTTGACCACTATCTCGCTTAGCTAGTCTTACTTCTCTACGATAGATCGTAGACTGCATCATCGCTTACATAAGCATAAGCGGTTGCATAAGCAACCTATTCACTCGGGCCTTGAAGACTCCCAGGTTCTACCCTTCAATAAAAAGGCAAAGACTTCCACTCTTTAGCAGTACGCACAAGGAAGCTTGAAGCGAAGCGCTTCGTGCGCTCCATGAATCGGTGACGCTTCGCCGATTGTCTTGTGGTACGATAATGGAAAGGACTAGGGGACTAGATTTTTATACAATAATCAGAAGATTACATTACGTATTATTTCGTATAAGTTGCTACGTAGCTCCAAAACCGCTACGAAACGCGTACCCAATGAAGCAGTCTCTCCCGCCCACAACGAACAGATGTGAAGGCCTAACAGTAAAGCTATTTACTATTAACAGCATTATTATCTATATTTAATCCTAGTTTATTTCTCATTATTGAACCACATCAATAGTTGTAGCTTGTTTCGTGAACGGACCAGTGAGTACAAACTAGTTTCAGGAATCGTTTACTGCTTACGATTGATCGGTATAAACGGTGTCATGTTGTAGTCGTGTCGGTCATTGACGGAGTATAACGAAAACGTTCGTGAGACATACTAAAAATTATTATGTTTTTTGGCTTACTCAGCCAGTTAACAGCGCGACAGTCCTCGCGTCGTGGGTCGCGGAATGGTGCACATGAATATGAGCCTCTACCATGGCTTGAAACTAGTCAAGTTCCTCAAACAATTGCGTGAGTGAGCCTAAAACATAATAATTGACGGAGTATAATTTCAATTTCAACTCATATTTTACTTTTATTATTTCATTTAATTTTGAGCTTTATAAAACTATGGATAATGTCTAAATTAGAATTTATTAACGTAGTTATATGACGAACTTGATTAGTACTCACTTCACTGCTTCGTTAGGTTAATCCTCGCTTCTGACATCGAAGGTCTTGCAGCTTGTATGCTTCTGCAGCGGCTACCGTTACCAATTATTGAAACAGCGCAAAAAGTCATCCTAAGGGACGTTAGATTCTCGAGAGAACCATGCTTCAGTACAAAGGCGCCGGCTCATGTGTCGGACCTGTCGCGGAGAACCTAACGGGTTACCGGGGCTCCGGCTCGAAGCGCAGGAGAAGGAACGGGGAAGTTTTTAGTCAGTAAGAGTATGACACTCCCTCCTGCCTCACCCAGGCGGGAGCAGTCATTCGATGATTTTCCCCCCTTAAAAAAAAAGTGTCGGGCCTCGTAGTGTCGCATCACAATGAATCCTATAGTATAAAATACATTCCCAACTTTCTACAAGATATGAAACTAATATAGATTAAAGTAATGTAAGTAGATGACCAATACAAACAATGATTATTGTGGCTCATAGAATTTTATGTACTTGCCTGGTATTTAGTGTATTAAGATTGCACAGGATTTCTTGTTGTAGGGAAAGTTTTAGTGAACTTAATTGCTTGTTTGTTCCATAAACTCTTTTGTCCTAGATAAGGGAAAGATATACAATCAGGGTGGACACCTCTAGATTTGTACACCGCTAGACTATGCGCTTTCTACATGAGAGGGGTATTCTATAATTTCCAAGCTTGTCGAGCGATGGAGACCATAGGTTAAAAGGTTCATGTTTATAAGCAACCGGTGCTACTCTGTCTCCATCAAATGTGTAGCCTTTAGTCGGTTTTCAAAACACACATGGGATCAATACGGCTTGTAACAAATGTTTTCTATTTTAATATCACCTTATCGTAATTAAACTGTTCGCGGAGAACCTAACGGGTAATCGAGACTCCGGCTCGACGTGCAGGAGAAGGAACGGGGTGGTTTTTAGTCAGTAAGAGTCTGACACTCCCTCCTGCCTCACCCAAGCGGAGCAGGCATTCGATGATTTTCTCCCATTAAAAAAAAATGGCAATTAAACTTAGGGCCAAGTTTGCGACCGCCAGTCAAATTTTATCAGAAGAATAGCGTTGAATATTTGAAAATTCTTCGATACATAAAAGATAAGAAAATATTCCTTTTTACAAGGTCGGCAACGCACATATAACTCCTCTGGTGCTGCGGATGTCCATGGGCAGAGCTGATCGCTTACCATCAGGTGATCCGTCTGCTCGTTTGCGTCCTATTCCATAAAAAAATACTATAAATTGTCAATTTTGTCAATTTTATTCTACAGTTAAAATTTATCTGTTGATTCACTTCGGCCCTTACCTTAACATAAATAGATTCATTTGAATCTGCATCTTACGTCCTATAATTATAAGCTGCAATTAACTGTTTACTAATATCTGTCAGCAGATCATTGGCTATCAAT